AATTTTTGAATTGCTTTTTATTTACTAAAATATATTCCGTAAATTACAATTGTTCTTTAGCAGTGGTTATTTAAGGAAGCATATTGGACTAAAATATTTTATTCCATAGAGTCCATAGTTGTCTCGAAACATGTCGTCCCCAATAAATACGCTGACACTCGATCGAATAACCACTTCATTCATTACGAAAATAAATGATGTAATCAGGCAACGTTTCATACGAAATCCATTTTAAATGTAATTACAAATAATAATGGTTGAGCGCAAAGGTGGAGGGTTGATTGGTTGAGTGAGACCGCGAAGTGCGGGCAGGCCAAACTTTCTTAATTAACTCGTTATTGTGCAGTGCACGAAACACCGAGCTGTGTAAGCTCTAGCTAGGCAGGTATAGCTTACACGCTACAGCCGTCCGTACTAAGTAAATACTGCCAAGTTATTATTTATTGTATTTCACTTGTTATTGTTCTGGTGCTATAAATTATGTATGCTGCACACCAACTTTGCAATCACTGAGACTGTAGGACATAAAGTTTTTATTTTCAGTCTGAAATAACAAAATTAATGACCTTTCTAAATATGTAACGGGGTGGGCAAGTTGAGTGATTATGTACAGGTCTACTGCATAGATCTAATACCTATAGGAAATGACACTTAGTCGGCAATCGTTATCGATATTTGCAAGAGTTTTGATACCACAATCGACTTAAAAGGATACGTAACATATCAAAAGAACTAAACATTATCCACATGGCTACATAAGAGGGAAGGGTAAGGACCTATTGGGATAATGAGGAAACCTTTCGCAGTAGAAAAGGTCGAATTAATTATGTAGACCGTATCGAAAGGCGGAGCCGACGTGGAATCAATGTCAGGCTTTTTCAGACATACCCATATTTGTCCTCACTGCCAACACAATGCTCTTTAATCTGGCTGTTAATGACATGGCTCTTGCCACCCTGCACCTTATTAAGACCACCTCTTTTATTTTTATGGTTCTCTGACAAAAAAATTCGCCTTCATGCAAGTCAATGGCAGTGCTAACACTATTGAATCCTCATTAATTTACCGTCGTTCGCTATTCTAAAATCGTAATGTCGGAAATTGATTGATTTGGTTTATGTGTCCTGCATCGCACTAGCCACACACGGCGACATATAAATCAGAAACAAATGAACTGAATTAGATTGATATTCTGGTTTTTATCCTTGTGGTGTGTCCATTATTTTTTAAAGCATTCAATAGACATATACATCACACATATAACTCTTTTGAATCTTTTGAAACAAAAACTCCAGTTACTTAGGTATAATGATGATGAATTAAAATGATTATTAAGTACAATGTTTCTCTGAGCAATTTATTTTTTGTTTTACCAATGTATAATAGAATACCTCTCTCTAGATCTAGGCGTAGCTACCTTCCCTGCCTCTTTACTTAAAGAATAGATGAGTGTGATGTGGGCAAATGTGATGTTTGTCTGTTTTTATTTATATATTTTTTATTACAATTATAGATATCTAAAGTTTAATTTAATCTAATCATAGGTACCTAATTCATAAATAGTAGCACATTCAAAGTCAGTATAATAAATTATTATAATTATCCCTAGGCTTGAACATGAAAGCTCACGCTTTTGTCCATAAAATTATATTACCTCACTATTTAATAGCTATCTGAGCTGTAACTACGTAATGGCCAAAGAAATGTAGATAAAGGGAGATAAATGAGGTACTTGCACACTGCCTCCAACTCCAGACCTCGTACAAAAACGCGACTAGCTCATGGTTGGATACTCCTAGTAGGTACCTATATTAAGCCTTTATTTCTTAGAACAACCCAACTCTATATAGGGTCATTACACGGACCTCCGGCCTCCACATCACCGCAACAAAAATTAATCAGTAGGCAAAGCAATACCTCACAGCTACAAGAGAGGCTAATCCACAAAAACGCTCCATTAAAACGATAAGTTTTTCAATGAGGGATTTAGCAAAAGCTTCTTTTTTCATCCACTTCGTTCACCCATAAACGAACGCTGTCAGCCATCGCCATTGAAATCGGTCTCCTTTAATTTTGAAGCCAATAAATTTTGTAATCCGCCAACTGAATTTATATCGGCCATTTAATGTCAATAAAAGAGAAGACGCCAGCTCGCGCTTTTTGCCCGGCCCGCCAAATGTCACCGAGCTCATTTTACATACAAAGGTGATGTGTCAATGATTATAGTTAGGAGACTCGGGGCCGAGTTGCCGAGTTCCTTGCATTCCATTACAGGGTTAATTCAAGGATATCTGCTATTATAGAGCTAGTAGGTAGATAACTTAATCACAGAATACGTGCAAACATTCATATTATACGGCAATGAAATTATTTACAGGATTTGATATCAATTCTCGTTGAGAATCATGTTACAGCAATCACGCTATCCAGACTGAACGTCAATATTTGCACAATAATACAAAGCGTATTGTAATTACACACCAAACATAATACGTGCTGTGCGTGGTAATGCCATCTCATTTCATTAAGTGCATCTAAGTACTTACATAGACACTAGGTACTTACGTAGCAGATACTGATATATCTATATGCAATGTCTGCCTAGGCGTCGAAGGCGTCACTAAGGTTCCATTAACCCGTCAATGGTGGATGGTGGACGGAGAACTCCGTTGCGTATGACAGTATACTTGTACAAGTCTAATCGCTTGACGAGGGAGTCATGTCGACACGCACGCAAATTGCGTCGTTGTTTACGACGCTGTACCTACCTAACTCAATTTGTGTATTCTAGTACACCACTTATGTAATCGTTTCGCTAGAGGGTGGAACACCCGATATCCTTTGTCTGTTTAACACTACACGTTTGGAATAATGGCACGCAATCGTATTAGGTCGTGCCTGATTTAGCAATAAAAAGGCTTTGTTTTGTTCACAACAACAATCCTGTAGCTAAGGTAACAATAGATAGATACCTAAATAATAAAATACCTCCTTATAAGTATGTCTAGAATGATGAATCCACCATGCAGTCATGTCAGATATGCACCTAGTATCTAGTTAAAATGTCTTGAGCCCGTTGTACGAAGGATTATTGAGAAAACAAATTTGGGAGTGGAGAATGGGAGAACCATGTTTCGACTTCACGAATGCGCCGGCTCGACCGGAGTGATACCACGGCCTCACAGAAATGAATCAACGTTATTCGCCGTGTAAGTGAGGTTACCAGATTTCCAATGCTTCCCCTCCTTGCATCCTTCATTCCTTCCCCATTCCCTAAATCCCAAAAAGCTCAAAAGGCCGACAATTCACTTGCAACTCCTCTAGTGTCGTAGGTGTACCTATATAGATGGCGCCGCTTGCTTAGGTGCCTGCCATCAGATAATCCATCTGCACGTTTGCCGCCGTATCTCAGCATAAATAAAAACTAAGTTTGCGAAATTGTAAGTAAGTACCTACATATAGTTTACACCCATACTTACATTCTCTTTGTTTGACAAAATAATCAAAAGACGTGAATATCTCTTGAGAATAATCATCATTTTTAAATTGGAACGCCAAACGAAATGGCAGAGCCGTGCCGCTTTGTCGTCAGCAATTCGCTTCGGATTGAAAGGGCTGGATTCGATATCGTATGGAGCAGCTAACTGCCGATCGCAGCGACGAATGAATGCCTACACCCGATACAAAGAACTGATCGGAATATTGAAGCTTACTCGAGTAGCGAGTCAATAGTGTCGGAAGGTACAAAATAGAACGAATTTCTCATTTAAATCTAGCGTAACTGCTATAAAAAAGCTCTTTAGCTTCAGGTTTCTACTCTAACGCTAATAATATTTTTTCTAGTAGTCTGGTGTAACCATTTTATTTTCTGGTAGTCTAATATAGCCTTGCATCCACTCCACCATACCTAAATGGTGCTTTCAAACGGAACTCCTTGGTCACTTACTTTTTATTTCCACTGATATTTTGTCTAAAACTTATTTTGACACATTTAATAGAATAGGTACCTACTTATAACAATAAAAAAGCTAATCATTGGAGTAAATAAATGGTATAAAATTACGAAGTGTCTCTTTTTTTATTTTTTTCCATCGCATAACACCATGTTGGCTAAACCGCAATTTAAATGTGAGGGTTGCATCAAGCCAGCAGCACGACGCCTTGGTCTGTTCCAAGCAAAGGACGAATATGAGTGCTATGCAGAAAGTTACGTCAAATGCTTCTGGGGGCTATGCGATCTACACAAAAGCCACGAGAACATTCTTCCCACTAAAGAAATCAAGGGTGAGAAGTTTAACTTGTAATTTGTACACCGGTAGGATCAACACTTTATTACAACTTTATTTTCATTTGTTTTATATTTACATTTTTTTATACATTTTCTACCTGATCGACCACTGATAGAAACTGAAAAAATGTGGCGAAAACAAGTTAATTTGGCCGATGAGTGTTTAAAAAAATTGGTTGATAACCACTAGTGATGGCCAAAGAGAATAGAATATGAATTGTACTCACGTCCACCAGTGGCGGACAAAGGGTATTATTTAAAAATAAACGTTGCAATATCCACACATAAAGCCAAAAAGATGAGCGTAGCGGGAATACAACCCAGGTCCAAATACAAATATATTGAACTTGTACAACATACTAATTACTTAGTATTAACTATATTGATTATACTGAATCTGAATTTTACATCATTTTATTAGTTCAACATTTAGCAAATTGTGTAATAATGATATCCATAATAATAGCATGCCCTGTTTCCTAATATTTGTTTCTTCAATGTGAATTAACTTAGTATTTGGCTACCATATTTTTTAATTACTTTTTTTCAGTAGTAACAGACCAACCACGACCACAGGAGTTGCCATACAAGAACACCAGGATAATGAATGATATTGCAGTGGCAACTTGAAGGCAGGCAACCCCACAAATAAAAACAACAACATAGTAAAAATAAAATATATTAACAAGTACGAAATAATAAAATTAAATAACTATATACTATTTTGATTTTCATTTAATACTTGTCTTACATTCATATTTATCCTTGATTCTTGAATGTAGTTTCTAAATCTGTTCCATATTTTATTATCTATGTTTTCATTCATTGTTCCCACAAATTCATCTGGTTCTGATATATATTTAAAACTGGATACTTTATTGCTGAAGACATCTGAGATGTTGGATTCTTCCCAAGGAGAATCGGGTGATGGTAATATTTTTGGTACAGCATGGTAACACAGTCTGGCCTCCTTCGACATAACAACTATATCTCCACTTTTAATCAGTATTGCCGATGGTTCTACTGATTTGTCTTTTCCTCCAATTAAAAATATTGCTGACTGGCCAAAACTAGAACAGAAAGATTTTTGTACAATTCATTTCATATTTACAACATTCTATTTAGTGTTCTGTGTTACATTCACTGCATTCATAAAGCTCACAACAAACTTTTGTGGTACTTGGCCCTTATACAAATTATGTTTATTTTGAAATCTGATTCAAAGAGACTATTCCAGATACTTTGAATTTAATAAACTTAATTTTTAAATTGTGAAAAAATAAACAACATTGATACATACCTAAATGAAAACAGAGGTGCTTCCAAATTAACTTCTGAATGGTCAGTATGTGCTGATAGTGTAGAATTCATGTGGTAATAATTGACAATAGCTGCTTCAGCCCTAAAGTTTGAATAACCCAAGTACTCAGCCAAAACATCTGACAACTCTGCCAAGTCTACAGGAAAATGAGACTTGTTCAGTTCTGTGTAAACCTGGAATTTAAACAGAATAGATAGATTAATAACAACAATATTTTTGTTTTTTATAATAAAAGGTGGCCAATATGTGGAATGCCAGAAATAAAATGAAATCTATTAGACAAAAAAATTAAAAAATCTAATATTGTGTATCAACATAATATTAACATTTTACTTTTGTGTCCCAGTTGTGATGGTAGCCTAATGTAGTCCATCGTAGCTTCTTCTGCAACTGCTTATCACATTGTTCCTTTTTAAAGCATTCTGCCCACCAGTCCTCTACACTCATTTCTATATCAATATTCAATTTATTTGGTTTCCTTGGGTATTCTTCAAGACATTTTCTAACCCAGTATCTTTGTCCAAGTGCAGTAAAGGGGTTTCTGATAAATAGTAAGCCTGGGTGCCTCAGTAATGTATATATTTGCCATGTTCTTAAACTTTTTAGTCCCAATACTTCAGCTCTTGGATCATCAGTAAATATCTCTGCAGCTATTTTATTCACCTAAAAGATGTTCGTGATTACGATTATTTGCCAAATCTATGTCACAATATAGGTAAATTAAAATTAACTATCAAAACCTTATCAGTAGCACAGTTTTCCACTTCTATTACATCTTCCATAGAAGGTTTAGGTTTGTTTGACTTATAATACTTAAACGTCTTCATAAACTTATCTTCTACAGTTACTGAATTCGATTTTTCTTCCATTATTTCAGTAATAAAAATGTTTATGAAAATATCCACCACATGTTTGGTTGAAATAAATATTTTGATTAAAACTGACATTTGACTGAAATTATCATTTTGTCAATGTCATCTCAAAAGCAATCGGTCAGTTTAGAAATGAAGTAGACGATAACGTCAATCAATATGACATAATATAGTTAAAGCCTTTATAAAACTATACTATCATACTGGCGACTAATTTTATATACATGAAACCATAACAAAATCTATTGTTTTAGTAAACTAAGTTAACAAAATTATAAACAAATTATTTACGTGATTGAAAATTGAATAAAAAAAAATGTCAAATGAAATGTCAATGTCAAGTGACATCCAGGTACTTAGTCCTAATAGGTACGAAAACATTGAAAACAGTATCGAAGTTGGTAAAAGGTGGTTAATTGATAAATAATCATGAGTAACACAGCTTCTGAGCAACCCATAGATGTTATCAAGGTAATATACTTTTCAGCATGCTCACTTCTAACTAACATTATCAACCTCAAGGAAAAGGGGGCATTTTTCCCATTCTTTCGTTTACTTTACCATACACTGTGCCCGTCATGTAGATAAGGTGCCCTTTAATGATGTGCAATCAAATATTACTAAATTAAAACTTCTCACATAAACTCTCTCCAAAATAGTCAAGAATTTTACTTTAACACTACCTATTTCTATTAACTCCCATTCATGAATTTCCATACTTAATATTGCAAAATAATTTATTTCAGCCTACTGAAGATGGGAAAGCAAAATTAAGAAAATGGCTCAACATGAACTTTAGAATAGAGATGACCGATGGTAGAGTGCTTATTGGAGTATTTTTATGCACAGATCGAGATGCAAATGTTATATTAGGTATGTATGAATTTTTTCAATTAAGTGATAACATAATTTTAAAGGTATTTTAAAATTCATTGTTAAGCAAGCACTACATACACGGTTGTATTGATTCAATTACTAAATTTGTATTTTCTAGGAGCATGTTCAGAGTATCTTAAAAGTGGTGATGGTGAAACAGAGGAGCCAAGAGTTCTAGGTTTAGTGATGGTACCAGGTCGTCACATTGTGTCCATTCAGTTGGATGATACTACACCTCCACAAATGTACTGTTATGATGAGTGATTCCTCAATAATGTCCTTGGTTTTGTAATAAAAAATCCATTTTTAGTAATATCTCTTATTAGTTTGTCATTGTGTATAATATTTATACTTGCTATCTATTAGAGTTAAGTTTTAATAAGGAATAAAACAATTTGTAAACATGTGTATTTGTAAGTATTTATATTTATTAATTAAGGAGTATTCAAGTTTTCAATATGCTGCTTTAGTACATCTGGTTCAAGGTAAATATTTTTAGAATGATTAGCAAAGGGGTTGTATTCATCTACATTGTGGTTTGATTGTAATAATACAGATAATTCATTCACAAGTTCATTCATTGAATGCTGAGACCCATTTAACTTCAAGTACAAAAATTGTCTATTTAGAATATTATTTAAGCAAATATATGGTTGAACAACTCCTTCTTGTTTACTTAATTTACTATAATATATCACACTTTTGTTTCTTACATCCTCATCTTCATCTTGCAGAAGCATTATTGCACATCTTATTGTAATAACTTTTACTGAATCAGACAAATTATCAAACACATAAGCAAGTTCATTATTGGCTGTAGCTGCTACATATCTCATATCAACATCTGATTTATCAAAATCACTTAGTTTTTGAATGATTTGCATCAAAGACATCTGACCATCTTTCTCAAGACCCAGAATATTTCTTGCCAACAATGGAATCATGTATCTTATTATGTATACTGATTGACTTTCTACTAAAACTTTTATAAGTTCTACTACATCTAAATGATTAGATATATCTATTCGTAAAGATATTTCATAAATTATTTTCCAAGTAATACTGCTGTAATATTTTTTCTCAAATGATAACAAGATATCAACTATTTCCAATAGATGTTCTGTCAATGCACATTTCTGATCTTTAATTTTGAGGAGAATGAACTCACAATACTTTTCGTGATTACTTAATTTCAAAACTTTCTGTAACAAATTTGGTATGTTATTCCATTCAGATATCTTTATATATTTCTTGAGACGAGCTTCGGCCCATAAATCCACACCAGGCAAGTGCACTGAACTATTAACTTGCATAATTGTGGTTTCAATATCTTCTAATTTGTAACTATTTATGAAAACATCTTCAAATAATGTTCTGCTTAGAAACGAATGGTTACCACTAGATATGATTCTTTCGAATTTTTCTTTCAGCTGCTCAAAGTACTCTGGGTGAGCTTCATTCAATAAATAATATTTTTGGCATATACTTAACAAAATTAAACTTCCATGCAGATCATTTTCTGACAGAAAAACATGAGTTAATAAAATATGAAAGATTTGTATAGAATCATAGATGTTAAATATACATTTTGCTGTCAATCGTCTAACTGTATGTATGGGACTGTTGAGGAGTATAAACAAACATTTTAATAAATCCTCATCAGCAGTTTTCTGTAGTTGAATATCAAAAGAAAAATTGTATCGCTTTGCACTGTTTGCCAAAAGGTTCAATATTGGTACCAAGTTTGAGTGTGACTGAACCACATCTGGTTGATTGCTTAGCTTTAACTGTTGCATTATATATTTCCATAGCTTTGGTGAATGAGTTCGGAGCTCATCGCACGCGACAGTCGCTGTAGTTTGCTCATCACTACCTGAAGCTTTCTTCTCACCAATTTGCTTTGGTATCAAGGCTCCATACAACTGAAGAGCTGCATTTCTGGAATTTTTTAAATGTAAGTTGTCATATGTGTCCATTGTAGTTACATTGTTAGAAAGTATTTTATTTGAGATTACCTGATTTGCCAATGTGCACTAGTAAGATTGCCAAAAGCAAGTTCAGCCAATTTAGCAAAATAAAACATCATGTCTGTAGCTAAACCGCTGTCAGTGACTATTCTTGTCAAGAAATGTATGTAGATTGCTTTTGGTAGATCAATTTGATTTTCATCATTTCTTTTTGGGGTGTCCTTTGTTGAATTACATATGTCCAACAGAGTATTTATAAAGTAGTGGAACAAAGGCTGAAAACATTAATTTATTAACTTTTTTTTTTTCAAATGGAATTTCTATTGTTTATTTGGATTTCTTACTTTGCCCTTCTTCATGTCGCTGGATACTATTCTGTGCACCATAATAGACAGACCTGCACCTCTTCTGGTAATAGATGCCATTTTGTTTGTTTCTGATATTAAATCATTTAGTTTACATCTAAGTAGAATGTTGGGTACTTCTGAAGCTTTATTTTCTTCTGGCAATGAAGTTAGGAATTGAATACCTTTTCCTATAAATTAGAGAAATTGTTTAATGTTGTTTTACTAACTGACGGAAGTAAGGAATTATGTATTTTTACCTAAAGAAGCTCCTGCAGCCTCAATAGCTCCTTTATGACGAGATGTCTCCAACACATGAGTTATAATGTTGAGACACTTTTCTGCCATAGAAGCATCGTCCGCATTAAGTTGTACCAAAACTGATGAAAGGTCACATGATGCCTACAAGATAATAATTATTTTTATTAGTTTGTCAAATAATGTTCAGAAAAATCGTTTCAAAACTGTATTTGAAAATGTACCTTTACATTCAGCCAAAGAGAATTCAACACTATTTGATGGAATCCTGATATTTTTGTTTGATCAATCTCATCGCTAATAATTAAACCAGATTTATCAATAATATTTTCGACCATATCACTCATTTTTGAAAAATCTGAACTTGTTGAACTGTCCTCTTCCCAAGCAAATTGGTTAGAAATATTTTCCAAAACCTCAGCAAATTCTGGCATAACTCCTTTGATGTCAATTTTGTATGAGTTTGCAATACAAGTTTCCAGTACAACTAATAAAATATTCATAAAGGAATGTAACTGTTTCCCTGATTCAATTGATTTCATAATATTAGTTTTTGCTTTATATTCACTTACTAATTGATTGTATGCAAAATAAAATATCTCTTCCACATTTTTGTACTGGCCTATGGAATGTTTATGTTTGATTACTAAATTAGTTATTAATTTAAACATGCTCTGACCACAGCTGATTTCATAGAAGAATTTGCTTCTCATGCTGTTCAGAGCACCATTTACTAAATGTTGGTTTATATTTGGGTTCTCTAACTCCACAGAGTAATGGTTTAGCAGTAGCTTTGCCACATTCTCTCTAATGTCATCTGTAGGATCACTTAGCAAACTGATAAGTTTCACAACAAAATCATCTGTGGATAGAACCCAACATCCATTTTCTTTCACATACTCTATCAATGTCATATTCATATTTCTTATCTGACCTTTTTTCTTGTTAGGAATTTCACTAAAACAACTTATTATTGTACTACATAGTTTCACACATGTAATCTTTCTCTGATAATTACCATTTAAATTGATTGAAGTGACAACACAGTTTTGTAATTTTGTGCAAAATTCTAATAGTGATTTTCTGTTTTGCAAAGATTCATTACTTTCATCTTTGATCATGACATTTAAAAAAGTTGAATGCAGTTGTGTTAAAAATATATTGAGACTATTTAACATACTCAATCTTAACACAGTATTATCTGAATTAATATTGTTGTGTATGAAATTCAACAACAAATCATATTCCAATTGACTTGGAGCTGCCTTCCCTTGTGATACACAGACAATATCAAAAGCTAGAGTTCTTATGTAAGAGTTACAATGGTCTAGACCTATCAATATAGTTTGTTCAATGTAATCACAATCTTTAGATTCCCAATTCTTTTCAAGCAAGCCTTTTCTATTAGCTTGTTTCATTATACATAATTGACTGCATAGATTTTGGTCATAATTATCATGATTACTTAATTTATCAAGCAATATGTGGTGTACAGTTGGAAACTTCTTCATGGTTATTAGACACCAGAAGTTATGAAAATTCTCTATTGCTTTGCTGCTAGATCCATTTAGAATTTTGATAACATCATTTAGAAATATTGTACACCAATCTTTTTCAAAGTTGATTTGTTTTAGCAATGCATAATACATATCAGCTCCAGCAGAAACCAGTCCTGGTTTGTGTAAACTGTATATGAGTCCATCGACCCACCTATTTTCTTTTAACAGTGGGAGGGCTTTTCCATTTTTGTTTTCAATTATCTCTGAAAGCATTAAATATTTTGCTTTGTTCCAGTAGAATGAATTGATTTCTTTTACCACTATTTGATACATTTCATCATCAAGTGTTATTAACAAAGTTTGGAATATAGATCTGTTTAAATCTCTTATTCCAGTCACAGGATTTTCCCAATTATGATTGATAAAGTTAAGCAACTTGACTTGATTTTCTTTGCTAAAGATGCAGTCTTGAAAATCTGTTCCAACTACTTTTTTAAATAACTTAATAGTCTTAAATGTAATAAATGTATACTGTGAATATTCATATCCCATGAGAAGAAGTAAGTCAAACACTGGTTTTAAAACTGATTTGGTCACTTCACTATGACTTTTCTGAATTAGAAATGTTGATTGAAATATTCCATACATCATTGACACCAGATTATAGGTTTTAGATGACCTGTCTTCTTTGTTTTTATTAACTAATTCTTCTTCATTCAGAAGCAATAATTTAGTTAAATAGATGTCTTGTTTGTCTGTGCATGGTAACACTGTATAGAAACATGTTGCACAAAGTAACTGATCATCAAATATTTTAAATCCTGTTTGTAAATGTGACCATAGAATATCTGCAACCTGATTCCAAAACTCTTTATTTTGGCTGGAGGATTCTTTGGACAGCTTCAACAAGTCCTGAAAATACATATAATAATAACTAGCTGTCTTAGTACAAAATAAATAAAAGATTATAATATTTGTAGGAGGTATATATACCTGAATGGATTTCATCTTCAATTCATGCGTAGGAAAACTGATCTCTTGCAAAATTATGTTATTGCTGTCCATTTTTATCTGAAATATTAAAACTCCGTGTTTAATTAAGACTGGATTAAACATCTTAAATAAAATAATAATTGCAAACTTTACCTATTATGTTTTGTTGTGATGTTTAATAGAAAAAATATAAATAAAAGACTGCTAAATATTGATAAAACATAATTTACTACAATGTCTATATTTACAATATCAAATGAAATTAAATATCAATTAAACTATGATTCCTTAATAGGTTCATAGCCTTCTTTCTGGATTTTCTCTTTATACATGTTAAAGTCTCTTTTTCTATCGAAATGCGAGACCCACTGAGTAGGACAGGATTTTTCAAACATTTTCCTTAAATCCAAGCATGCCTTTGGTTTCTCAGAGCTATCTTTAACATTTTCTTTATCTAGGCATTCCCAGTAACGATCTCTGGAGTCCCAACATGTTTTCCGCTGCTGTCTATCGGGAAACGACATTTTTCACCGTGTTTGAACACCTACAATATAAATTTTGTCTTAAAAACAGCGCCGCTGTAGTATGAACCGATTATAGTTAAATTCGTGTAAAATAATAAGGAAACTCACGCACGAGCACTCCAGAAATGATTACTTGAAATAATATCTGTAGTAATTTCTATTTACCACAATTTTTATCTGAAGATATCTTTTTCTTAACACCAGCTCAGCATAACCTAAAACTCCCACTGAAGTACACTAGATTATTGACATATGACACTGACAGGTGACAACTGACAGTTATCAAATGTCTTATGTAATTACGTTTCTTTACAGTTAGTCACTTAAATAATTTCAGAATCCTACCAAACCGAATAAACCCAAGATTGTATCTTGTTTTTAGACTATTTACAGTGGATTGTTCGAAGAATTGTTTCGTGAGAATCGAACCCACAACTCTAACATCCGCTATGACAAGTACATAGGGTTAAAATCAGGAAACACATGATTTCAAATTTCACTGATTTAATTTTCTACTGGCGACCATTAATTGTAATTGGTAATTGAAATAAAAAACAACTGCTTATGAATACAAATCATGTATTTATCCCTTGAATCAATTTTTGGACGTCATTCAATTTATTTATAGTAAAGAAGTGGTAATGAGTAATGTTGCAAGTGGTATTAAGTTGTTTTATTAACTGCTTTATTATATCAGTGCAAGGTCTATTCATTTTCTCATTGTCACTAACAGCGTTCAATAAATCTTCAGATACCTTAACCTTACACATATTTATAAAGCCATCTAATTGTTTTGGTGTTTCAAAGGAGAACACCCCGGGTATGAGTGGAACATGCACGCCCATTTTCTCACAACGGTCTTTCAAATTTTTAAATGCATCAACATCAAAAAATGCTTGTGTAAGGATAAAATTGGCTCCAGCATCGACTTTTTCTTTGATCAGTCCAAGTTTTTCATCAGAACAGCCAGGAAATCCGGCAATACCAATACAAAAATATTGTCCTGTTTTCTCCCTTATGAATTTTATCATTTCTGTTGTGTTAACGAAATCTGAATTAGTTGGATCAAATCCTTCTGTAATGTAAAAACTTTTAGTTTAGTTTTGGCAATAGGTACAACAATTCAATGTAGAATGGGTAACTAGAAACCACAAATGCGCATATAGGTACACATACAAAACAGTTCAGTAGGTGTTTATTTTTATTTGTTTATTTAAGCATTTTTCACAAACATTTATGTACAAGGTAGACTTAACACAGGCATTCTCTGCCAGACGAACTTTTGGATTATAGAGAAGTTAACGATATTCTAAGTACTTACTGACATTTTACATTGGAAATATTGTTACTCGCGGTTATCCTAAATTGTTTAACTTTATTTCAAAATAGGTACTACCTAATCTAATCGTGTATCCATTCAATAGTTTTTTTACTATCAAGTACTGCCAGATTTCGAAACAACTTACCTCCCGAAACCAAGAACAAATTGCATATTCCATTTTCCTGCAGCTTGGCCAGCAGTTCAGTCAAATATGTAGCTTTCATCATATCACACGATAAGTGTAGGAGTACATTTTTCTGCTTACTTTTCAATAGGCATGCAGTTTTGATAGGGGCTATGTTCAAATCTTTGCATTGATGAGTTTTTGCATGCCAAGTGACTGAGAAGAATAGAGGTTCGACTCTTAAATCATCTATGTCTTGTTCAGAAACATCTGGAGTCACTTCAAATGAATAACTAAAGTTCCCTTTATTTTGTATTAATTCAGTAAGCTTGCCAGTACCTTCCATTTTGTCTAAAACTGCGGTTTATTTTTTGTCTTCAAATTATGAGCTTTCAACTATTAGCTGTCACTTGTCACCGATTTGAATTGCTATTAAAACTTTATGCTAACTCACTTATATAGATGCATTTTTATTAGTCCAAATTTATTTTTATTAGGTTTTCGTAAAAATACTTCTTTCTACAAAGAGGTCAATACAACACCGAGTACTCAAACGCACTGAACAAGTGAATGACCTTACAGGTCTACGATACCTACCTAACCGATAGGTGCGTCTGAGTTTTGTGCGATAAGAAGGTATTATAAACATTTTTATACTAGTACGTGGTAGATTACAGCAATTATATTTACTTACCTATTTAATTACGACCTTATTGATAGCATCAGTATCATAAAAATGTGAAAATAATTTGGCAATTGTATCAGTCTTTTTTTCCTGTTGACCTATTTAAGATTTTAAGAATGCTGTTCCATTAATTTTGATATAGGTAGTTGAATTCCATCTGTTGTCTTAGTAGGTGGGAAATAAATTACGATGTAAATCTAAACAATCCTGTGCAATGCTCCAACAATCTATCTTCATAACAATTCTTCGGGGAATTTTGCAGCAGCTAAAAGATATGTATAATTATGGAGGATAGGAGGCAAAAACATAGTTCCGGGAGAAATGAAACACACTCATATTATTATGGTATTGTATTATGTGTATGACTGCACTATACATTGATTAACAATCAGCCATATACTTTATCACAACCCAAAAGGTACAATCAACGAAAAAAAATGTATACTCGTATATTGGTAACGTCACTACAAAAACTTCCAATGAAGCTGTTAAGCCGTAACATGTCTTAATGGTAATACTCATACAATACTTAAACATATTGCTGTCACCTGCGTCTTCTACATCCTCCTTTATATAAAATTGTCTACTTATCTAACGACCTAAGATTAATTTAGTAATTGCGAATAACATGAAGTCTGCTCGATAATGTCAGAGTATGATACAAGTGGCAATATTCTAATTGTGTAAAAGCCTCCAAACACCTATTCTACAATCTTCTACATTAGTAATGACTTATTGAAATCTAGTTTCATTGTAATAATAAGATATTTCTTACGTATGTAAGTTATTGTTACGGTTCGGTAAAGCTTCACAATGACCAGTGCGGACTGGCCATAAATGGGATTTTTGATGGCGATTCGTTTGTTTTATCTACTTAGTAGATAATAAATGGACAACAATAGCAATAATATGAATAATGCGTCGTTAAAATGCAGGTGTTGTGAGACTCGGATTATGTTTTGATGGATATTAAAGCCACAACTTGCTAATCTATCGTGACTTTCAAAATTACTTGCACCTATTCATATATCTAATCAATGTATTGTATTATTTTAGATCGGTAATAAGTTTGGCTACATACGTAAAACAGCCATTAAGTCCTGATTTAACTACGCTAGTTATAAATACTCGTGCCGTGACGTTTGCTAAAAAACTGTGATATGTCCTAACTTCAATCGTCACAAACACGCTTCCCTAGTAAATAACTGTTACGCAAAGTGATCTTACGAATTTAATTGCCTGTTTAAAACTAAAAAAATTCTTCGACTTTCGGATGGTATTCTGTGACAATACATCGTTCTGAATTGACACTGAATTCAGTCTTGTATTCGAAGTTAATTAGAGGTAGTTTATTTACAAGGAATGTTGTGTTTAACGCAAGATTGTCGGCAGGAAAAGAAACATAGTTTGAAACCAATCACGACAAAATACAAATTGAATGTAAAGAACATATAAGGTACTATGAAGTAGGGTCTACTATTTTAATCACTGACTCAGATATTTTCTTTAAACTACTTACATGTTTCAATACATTTCTCTCAGATATCAAATCGAACTTTTTGGGTGCCATCTATGTATGGTTTAATTAGAAATAGGAATTAAGTAATTAGTAATAAGGACAAGAAGCCCTACAAGTTACACACATATATATTAGGCTTTAGTAATATCAGTTCTTCTACAATTGAAATTAAGTATTACCTGTTTATTCTTCTAAGACGTACACAACTATTACTTATGCTAAGATTTAGAAGACATGCAAGTTGGAAAGCTACAAGTAAACTCCGGACGTTGTCCCATGTCCATAGAAAAGGACAGGACACAAACTACGTGGGTGGACTCGATTCTAAATAAAAGTAGGTGTAGTAAATTTAAACCTGGCGATAGATTTTTTCTTTGCAAATATAGAACCCTCAAAAGCAGTTAATAAGTAAAAATTTATAGCCATATTATGAAATGTTAGAAGGACACGGCCAACGTAGAAAATACGTTTAAATTCGAATGCATTATAAATACATCTAAGAGTTATAAAAGTAAATTCATTTGAAAAATAGATTGCACAGGTTGGTACCTACATGCTTTTTAAATTTATTGTCCAAGCAATCGTAACGAATCCAAGAAGAGTATTTAGTATAAATTCATAAGATATTTTCAAAGTTGCTTAGAAAATTAAAACGCATCCATGTAACAACTTAACCTATGGATATTGTCGCGTTATTTATCACTAAATTAATTTAGTATCCATTGGGATCTCCACGAATATATTGACTAACGTAGTGCATAGTTAATACTAACAAACTTTATAGGTGTTTACAAGTATTTTAACGACCTATAACAATCGCGTTTTATTATAATAAACTAAATAATCGTAGTGTTGTCAAGCGTATCGGATAATGGCCGTATTGCGTCGTTGATGGGGGATTTGACCTTGTGGATGGGGATAAAATAATATATAAGAGCCATGGTTACGCCCTGAATGATTTGATTGGATATAAAATCCTTTTCATGTAGGCACGAAATGCAGACCATGAACAACTTTAGTACCAATCTAAATACATGACCATTTTTTTTCGACAAAAGCACACGGTCGACATAAATGTCCATGTGATCAACAATTATGTGCTGAAGACCCTTTTCGACACAATCCAACCATTTAATTAAATAATTATTAACAACTTTCAACGATCCTTAATATTAGAATAATTATATGGACTCCATTTGTTCTGTGAGCTCCAAAATAGGGCTCTCGCTGAGAGGTAGCATACCAGCTGTAGGTGGGAGGCTGTGACCTTGCCAATTGGACTGGAACAAAAATGTATTAATTGAGGTGGAACTTTGAGCAAGTAGAAAACCTACCTACCATAAGTAAATCACGGCTTATTCGGTGGGTACCTACAAGTGGTTGAATTTTTTGTATCTTATGTGTTCGATGTTCTAGCTAGCGTTAACATCTCTGGATCTATAAGTATTTGCATAGCAGTTCACGACAAAAAGGTCTATTTCTGCTACCAAAATCGGAAACAGCCTCAGTGAGATTTATTTCCCGCACAAAATAAATTAAAAAAGATATCGTCTTTCAGTATAATGTCACGTTTTCTTGTTTTTACCGAGTGTAAATAATAAGATAATGCACTTAGCATTATCATTTACTCTCTTTATTGGCACAATGTAGCCTGAAATCGTTAATGCTGTTAATCGTAGCATTTAATCAATGAATTATAGGGCGACGCTTACGTCACTCCTGATAATAGTTTCAAAATCCATCAGCAGATGGCACACCAATTGTAGCAACTCAGGGTGTATTTGTTTTGAAACTAATGAAGATACTCGTTTTACCTGGATAGGATTGACACATTTTGAACTATTAGCTTTTTGGTATGACACATACAGTATTTACTATTCAAGCATGAAAATAAATAATGCATCTAATTCAAACGTGCATAGCAACTGTGTCAACTACAAAAAAGCTATTTGCCAAAAATAATAAGGTGTAAAAATAAAACTATTATTATAAATTTACAATAACTTGTATTTAAATAAAACTTGCCTCTAAGTAAAGCTATCACATCTTACATAAATTATTATATATTTAGCAAATAATAACAAAAACTATACAGACTTTCACAAAGAAAAAGTACAGACTCATAATGTTTAACTTATAATATCTATAATAAATAGATACTTATATCTAATAAATTAATGTAACATGGAGAAATTAACGAACAAATATGTAGGAACATTCTCGTGTGATGTAGAACAAATGGGCAAAATGCAAGACATTCAACTTTAATGTATTAATACAATACTTGGCAAGTTATAATATTTAAATGGAATAGCTAGGTTTAGTACAAACTTATACATTACTATTTAGTGATGATATTTACTTTATTCATCAACAACAGGAATGAATACTTTGTAACAAGGTCTTGTATATTTTTATTTAAATGTATTTGGTATAATTATCAAATATTGAATGCATCTTTAATATTGACACAATGCATATTATGCTAAGAATACATTACTATTTATTGGGGTTTATATTTAATATAAAGGAAGGTACTTATCGGCAGTTTGGATTATAATATTGCAGTGAACCATTGATCTACTGGTGTAATATATAATTTAAAGCACTAATTATTGTCATGCACTCTAAATATACACAATATATTTGTGATATTACAATTGTCTACGCACTTACATTCATAGTACGATGCTTTACGAATATAAACCATAATGAGACCATTCTTTCGTCTAGCAACAACAGACGTGGAGGCCGAAAGTAATCGGACAACACGGCCAATGAAACGTAATCACACTACAAACTCTACGTGACTACTGTTTACGTGGAGTGCTACTAATTGATCTGTTGGAATACCTGGAAGCAGGGCTGCGGCTGGAACAGGGCGGTGTTCCAGTGGCCCGGCCACAGCGGCGCGTCGTGCGACGCGTGCGACGCGTGCGACGAGTGCGACGAATGCGACGCCGCCTCGGGCTCGGGGTCGCGCGTTTCGCGAGTGTCTCGCGCCTCGCGCCGCCCCGCCAGCTCCGAGATCTGACACGCACTCTGCAGGCTTGACGGCAGGTTCGACCAGTTCTCATTACCCAATCGTTCTTTATTTAATATGCTTATCTCCATAGAGCCCTGATATGCGAATTTCGCCTCATCCTGACCTTCTTCCGGCTTTTGCTTCGGTGTTCTATTTGGACCTTCCACAATTGCTTGAAAAGCTAGCAAATCACGGTTCTCTGTTTCAGTGAGTGGCAAGGGAGGTAAAATTTGTTGTTGCTGAGCTATTTTGTA